TGACACGTTGCGGCGACTGTAATGCCTGCTGACTTACACCATGCCGCTTGGGGGACCAACGACGTTGGCTGGCAAACAAGGGCACCGGCTACACGTCCAACGAAACCATGAAAATACGGGCGACGCTTGGGAAAGGCTCCAAAAAAAACTGGCCCACTAAAAAACACGCAAACAAAACAGAAGGAGGAAACCGACGGATGAGCATTTTGCCAGCTGAAAGGAGGCCCAAGCGGCACGCGCAGATCACGAGGCACGCTAAGCAAGAAGTGCACGTGACATCAAATAAAAACGCCGTCGCCGTTCTGCCAGAAGGAGCGCTGTATACGGAACGACCGCGCTGGGCTTGTCTGGCCACGGCGAGCCTCGGCCACGTCCGCCCACCTACACCTAGGGAGCGAGCCGACAACCAGAGCCCCCCCTAAACCCAAAGCGGCCCCTAGTTCAGCGCCTCGTGTGCGGTGCCCTCGACGGGCGTGCCCGCCGACTTCGCAGCACCCGTCGGACGCGCGCGCGCTCGTCCGCGCAGCGTGGCGCCGCGGGCACCCGGACGAGGCCGCCCAGGCGGCCCAGGCGCCGCACGGGGGGCTGGCGGGATGGCCCGCGACCTTCCGCGCCTCAAGCGGGGCCTCGCCCGTCCAGCCGGCCGAACCCGTGGTCAAGACCTCCGCCGCGAAGGCAGACATGGACGGGCTCTGAGGGCGCCACTGTGAGGACGGATCCTCCACCCGCTGCTGCACCTGGGCCTAGCTGAACCTCTGCTTCGACCGCGTGAGCAAGCTGAGGAAAGGCCCACTGAGCCCCCCCCACCACCACCGCCCCGGAGAGCAGGGCACGAGGCCCCAGGAGGGGAGGCCCTCAGCGGTGCCAGGGGTCAGACTTGTGAGGCCGACGAAGCCGCAGCAGGAGAGCGACCGAAGGGCATCCCAAGGGAAAGCTCGATGGCAAAGCCGCAGAGCAAGGGGCGGGCATCACACGCACTCGCCGGGGAGTCTCGCCGAAGGCATGGGCGATCGGAGCCCCCAGGTAGTCGACTGCGCGCCAAAAGACTGCGCCGCTCGCAGGCGCAGGGGGCGGCCTGGACAGCAGCGGGCCGACCAAGTCTCAAAAATGTGCATCTGGCTGCGTCATGTCCCCGTCTCCTCCCTGTGTGATCTGGGCGTCGCTTGAAAGGGGTGGGGGCGAGAACTGGGCGGGGGGGGACAAACGTGCACCTCTCGTGCCCCTTTAGGGTACGAAAAGTGCACCTCTCCTCACCGCCCCCATGCATCGCCCCTCCAATACGCAACACCCGAGGCCGACGCGCCGGTAGGCGCATGGATTCTGCGACGCACCGTACAGTCGAAACGTTGTCACAAGGAACCCTAAATAATGAGCGAGGCACCTTTTTCCACAATGATGTCTTCGATTTGCCAAGTCTGAGGGAAACCTAGGACAAACTGCAAATCTGCAAAACAATTAAGGAACACTGAGCCCCTCCCGAACGAAAAGGGTACCGTGCACCGTACCGTGCAAGTCAAAGCGCTGTCAGAAGGAGCCCTAGATATGAGGAGCGAGGCCCCTTTGTTTCCATGAGTGAAGCTTCGATGTCCCATAGAAGACCCGAGGGAACCCCAAGACAAACTGCAAAACAAGCAAGGAACACTGCGCACCTCTCAGGCCCGCACTGGAGAAGGGGCGAGGGAGGGGGAGGGGGAGGAGGAGGAGGAGGAGGAGGAGGAGGAGGAGGAGGAGGAGGAGGAGGAGGAGGAGGAGGAGGAGGAGGAGGAGGGGGTAGCGGCAGCGTGCGGAGCACTCTCATGCCATCAGGAAGCAGGAAACAGAAGCAGGAGGAGGGGCAATACCGTCCGCGCGAAGCTTGGCTGGGAGCTGGGGGGTAGGGGGGAACGAACGAACAAAACACCACATCGGACAGCTGCCTGGGCCTGCCTGAGGGGGACGGGGGTGGAGCGGGGGGGGGAGAGGAAGGGGCTGGAGGAGGGGGCAGCGAGTGGAGGAGGAGGGGGCGGAGGAGGAGGAGGAGGAGGAGGAGGAGGAGGAGGAGGCGGAGGAGGAGGAGGAGGAGGAGGAGGGGAGGAGGAGGAGGGGGAGCAGGAGGAGGAGGAGGAGGAGGAGGAGGAGGAGGCATGAGCGAGCTAGGAGGGGGGTGGAAAAAGGAATGAGCGAAGAGTCGGGAGCGAACAAAGAGCGGCCATAAGGGATGTGGGATGAGGAAGGAGTGAGGGGTGAAGAGTAAAGGGCTGGACGTGAGGAGTGAAGAGTAATGAGCGGTGAGCGAGGAGCGGGGAGTGAGGAGAGACGGGAACCAAGGACCGAGGCGTGAGGGGGTGAGGACCGAGGAGTCAAGAGCGAGTGGGGTGAGGAGGCAGATGGAGGCAGAGAGAGGAGCTGGCGCCTCGTCGACGATGGTGGTTGCCATGTTTGTCGTGACGTCCAGCCCGGCCTTGACGGCGCTGACAGCCTCCTGGACGGCTGGGAGGTGTTCCTCGTAGTCCGCCGTGTCCTTCGGGAGCCGAGGTCGACCCTGACATCCTCCGATCTGATGTTTGCGGCCCCACAGCTCTCGACCCCCTCCACGGAGCCAATCTTTCTCCCCGAATCCATGTTTGATGGCGCCAGGGCTGGATAACGGCCCCCGCAGGCCGAAATCGGGGAGAAACGCCAGGATTGAAAAATCGTACCGTCGGAGATATGGGTGCGTGGCATGTACGCCTATCAACAGCTCTGCGGGCCTCTGGAAACCCCTGAAGCCTCCTGGGACATCCTAGGGCCTCCGCGAATGTCCGGAAGTCCGCGCACTCAGTGGAGGCTCATAAGGCGTGTGCATCTCACTTGGCTGGAAGGGGGGTTGCGGCCGAAGCAGCTTGGCAAGGCTGATTTGCTGAGGCGTGTTCAGTCCCGCCAGCCCGTTAGGGTTGAGGTGGTCTGACACATTTTCTCTTCAAACCCCCTCCTTCTCCTTCTGGAACGGATTTCTCACACATACACCCTCTCCCCCACCCGACTGGCGACAAGCCCGGGCCAATGCCGACAACTCCCCCAGCATCCCCTGCCAAGAAACAATCCGAAGTGCAAGCTGCACCAAAATCTGGATCGTGTGCAGGCGCCCTGCGATCACTTCGCCTTGGTTCTTGACGGGGACGGCGGAGGGGGGGCGGCAGGTCGCCTGCTGAGCGCAGGCCAACCGTCCCTTTCGCCAAACATGCAAAGTTCATGTTGCCAGGGAGGGCGAGGCGGGGGCGGGCGGCATGCTGCCCGCGGCGCGCAGACCCACCATCCCTGCCAAAAACATATTGCAAAGTGATGGCGGGTGCACACCGACACACACTACAATACACCATGCTCGCAAGCCCGCCGTCACGCTGCACTGGCTTTTGGCAGGCATGGTGGGGGGTCGACACACTGCCCAGTGTGGCGCACCTTTGCGGGCGTGGCACACCCGGTGCGCGTGGCGCACCTGGCATGTGCGGCGCACCTCGCGGGCTTCGCGCGCCTGGCTGGCGTGTGCACCGGGTCCTGCTAGTTGTCGATGGCGGCCACTGCCTATACTGAGACTCGAGTGCTACTTTCGTACAGTGGGAGGGCGGATGGGAGTGAGCGAGACAGCTTGCGGCGTGCTCGCTGGGAACTTGACCCCTCCCTCCCCCTTCATGAACCCCTCCCCCTGGGTCTGGACAGGGGGGGGGGGGCGACCAGTCAAAGCGTCCAAGATGGCCCAATGTGGCCCTAAGATGTCCCAAGAAAGTCAGTCCATGATGGCCTTCAATATGGCTCAAGAGAACCCAGGGTGGCTCAAGACACCCACCAGCATGGCTCCTAAAGGCCCCAAGACCTCCCTAAGAAGGCTCCACCGAGAGGCCAAAAACCTTCCAAGACCGTAGGAAACCAGTGATTTGTGCATTCTCGCCATTCCCATTACGGTAAGCTTCCGAGGCCTCAAGATGCCTCCGAGATGGCACAGGAGAGCCCCAAGAGGGGCCCAAGAGGGCTCCACGACGACCTTTAGAGCGTCCAAGAGGGAGCCAAGAGCACCCAAGAGAGCCCCAGGAGTCGATGTGGAGGGTTCCAAAGCGGCGGGTCTGATAAATGATCCCCATTTCTTTAATCGGCCCCGAATGCCCCCCCCCCCAGAAAGCCTCCAAAATGGCCCCAGCTCACGTAAACTAGCAAGGGGCTCACATATCGAAAGATACGAGCAGGCGTGCGTAATTGACTCCTGGGTCTGCCAAGGATGACCCCGAGTTTCGAATTAACAGCTGCCCGCCATTTGCCTAATGTTTTGTCCTTCACTTCCCTGCCCAATGAATACAAGTCGCCTGGACATCGTGTCTGGATGGGCTGGTGGGAATGCGCCAAACATCAAGAATTCACTTGAAACACTACACGTGGGGTAGCCCTCCTTCTCCTCAGTGCTCGTTGTACTTTCCTTCTCCTCCTCCTCGTCCTCCTCCCCCTCCTCCTCCTCCTCCTCCTCCTCCGCCTATCCTCTTCCTCTTCCTCCTCCTCCTCCTCCTCCTCATCCTCCTCCTCCTCCTCCTCCTCCGCCTCCTCCGCCTGCTCCTCATCCTCCTCCTCCTTCTCATGTTTCCTGTTTCCTGCTTCCTGATGGCCTGAAAGTGCTCCGCACGCTGCCGATATCTCCTCCTCCTCCTCCTCCTCCTCCTCCTCCTCCTCCTCCTCCTCCTCCTCCTCCTCTTTCTCCTCCTCATCCTCATCATCATCCTCCTCATCATGCTCATCCTCCTCCCCCTCGGTGCAATGACGGATGGCGGACACGTCTGTGTTACCCTACTCGGCCGAGACTACTGTAGTCGCAACCTTCGCCCCTTCAACACGAGGCGCACACAACCCTCCTTCAACGCCCGAGTGGCACGTTGGCCGTGGACCCCAAGGACTTCTGCATGGGCGAAAGAGCGACTTCGGCTGGCGAGACGACGCCGCTCCACAGGAAACGCACGCAACGACAACAGCATGTGGGCCATCACACTCGGCTGGCGTGCGACAGCTCACCAGCCTAGGCCCCACCCCTCCTCCTTCCCGCCACACTCCAATTGGCCTCCACGGCCCTGGACACCACCGACCCTGGACGCTCAGAGGCCGATGGCTGGAAAGCCCGACACCTCACGCACCACCTCCTCCTCCTCCGCCTCTTCCTCCTCCGCCTCCTCCGCCTCCTCCTCCTCCTCCTCCTTCCCTCCCTCCCTCCCTCCTTCCTTCACCTCCCCTCCCCTCCCCTCCCCTCCCCTCCCCATCCCCTCCCTCCCTCCCTCCCTCCCCTCCTGCTCTTCCTCCTCCTGCTCCTCTAGCTGGAAAGCGCCCGCACAGGGCGCCGCCAGCCAGGGGAACATGCCGTCCCCCATCCATATAATTCTCACGAAGCTGCTTCCCAAGCTCTAACCTGATCAGGCAGGCTTGAGCCTTCGAGGAATAGGCTTACTTATCATTCAAGATCGTGTTTATGCCAGGGTTATGCAAGACGTCTTGCGGACTTGGGAAGCAGCGCACCTCAGCAAGATGATAGGCCACCAAGCTGGCCGCTCCATCATGGAAATCGTGTACATTCAAAGTTTACGGGCAGAGTCAGCGTCTGTAGAATCCGTACATGTGCATACAGGGTGTCTCATTGGGCATCTGAGCAATTATTACGAACACGTGGACCATCATCTCCTGTGGGACCGTGCAGAGCAGCAGGAATATCCATCAGCAGTCTTGACAATAGTATTGAACCAGTACTCGGGGGGTAGATTTTTGGGATACGCAGGCATGTGCAGCAAATTGCTCTTTCGAGGAATTGGCATCGCCGCGGGATGCTCTTCCGCAACGTACCTGATCCAGGTATCATCGCTACCACCGCTGAGGGCATGGAGCTTCAACCACCCTGAGATAGACTTCACCATGTTCATCGACGACTTCCTTGGGATGTACTCGCACGTCTGCTCTCGGACTCTGGTCGACAGGCTCACTCGTGCAGCTGCTAGCCTCACTCATATCATAATACCGGCAATGAAGCGTAAAATCGCGTTGTACAAATCTGCCGGTGTGGCCAGCTCCCCCGTGAGTCAAGGCAATTTCGACGGCCGGGTTACGGAAATACGCAGGAAAGCACTCGGGTCCATCAGCCAGCAACTTGGGAATCGATCTTTACGCGGGCAGCTTGCGTCCCAAAGGTGGCACTACGCTTACGCTGCAGAGCCAGCTACAGGCATCACGCATACGAAAGCTTTACGCCTTGAAGAAAGCAGGAGTCAGCATGGAGAACATGTTCCGACCCCAAATCACTAGGATTTCATGGTTCAGAAGCCGTAGGAGATAGCATTCCCGAGATTGCCAAGGCCCAGCACGATTATTTGAGCATTGCTGGATCTCCGGCAACCAGCAAGTCAAAAGCAGTCACGCCCATGCTCTTAGACGACCCCTTGTGGAGGCAAGGGCTCGGGCGAGCCATATCGTGATCGTCAACTGTCTGGAGGGCGGCCACACATGGTCGAGTTACGGCGGCAATCCCACCAGCCTTCTGGGCATCGGTGGTTTAGAGAGTTTCCTCTTCCACCCCTCCTTCTTCCCCTTCGGGGAGGGGTTCATCACTGTTCCCTATTGATATACAACCCCCTCCCCCAGGCGACTGGGAGCCAACCAGGGTCAATGCGGGCCTCCCCCCACAATCCCTTGCAAAAAAAACAATACAAAACACACTCTGCCTCCAAATTTGAGCATGCGCAGCGAACCCGATGCGGCCTCCCCCCACCATCCCTTTCAAAAAACAATACAAAGTACACTTGGCGGCAGCGGCGGCTGCGGCGGCTGCGGCGGGGGCAGCGGCTGTGGCGGCTGCGGCGGTGGCGGCGGCGGTGGCGGCGGCGGTGGCGGCGGCGGCGGCGGCGATTCGGCAGCGGGGGCGACAGCGGCGGCGGCGGAGGCGGCGGCGGCGGGAGGCGCGGCGGCGGCGGTGGACGGCGGCGGCGGGCGGCGCGGCGGCGCGGACAGCGGCGGCGGCGGACAGCGGCGGCGGCGGCGGCGGCACGGCAGCGGTGGCGGCGGGCGGCGGCGGCGGCAGAGGCGGCGGCGGCGGCGGATTCGTCCCCAGTAGCTGCCCATCCAAAGACGACTGCTGGATACATCCCCAGGCCGAATGTTTTGTTCCTCTTGCATGGGAATGCATGGATCCATTTGGATCCAATTACGTGTGTGCGAGAGTCACGTGGATCCAATTCCCGTGTCTTCTGGATCCATTCGTTTGGCGTGGAAGCTTCGTGGATCAAATTCGTTTGCTGGAATAAACTTATAATAATAATTAACACCAGGAACCCGAGGGGAAATGGATCCACGGAGCCTTGGACCTGCAGCCCAAACTATGATTCTACGGGGGAGGGGTTTCCCTACCGAGAGACACAACACACGGGGACGAGTAGGGAAGCACAAACCAGGAGCGGGCGAAGAGGAAGATGAGGGAGGAAGGAAGGAAAGGAGGGAGAGGGCGACGACGAGGAAGAAGAGGAGAGACGA